ATAGAGTTAATTTTCTTCCTAGCAGCTGGTACAGTGCTGTGTTTTGGATTTAGGATGAGAATAATGTTGATAACACACCGATGTTTTAGTTGTTGCTAAGCAGTGCTTACACTAGTCGAGGACTTTCCAGCTTCCCATGCTCTACTGACTGAGAAGGCTGGGGGTGCACAAGAAGCTGGGAGGGGGCACAGCCAGGACAGCTGACCCAAACTGGCCAAAGGGACATTCCATACCGTGTGATGTCATGCTCAGTACATAAACTGGGGGAAAGCTGGCCGGGGGGGCCGCTGCTCAGGGACTGGCTGGGCATTGGTCAGTGAGCAATTGCATTGTGCATCACTTGCTTTGTATATTATTATTATTATTATTATTATTACTATTATTGTATTTTATTTTATTTCAATTATTAAACTGTTTTTATCTCAAGGGGGGTGGGGTGGGGGGGAGGAGTGAGCGAGCGGCTGTGTGGTGCTCAGTTGCTGACTGAGGTTAAACCATGACAATTAAGAATGCCTGACACTTCCTACTGCAAACCCTATTTTCAGTTAGTTATAACTTCTCATACTTGTAATGATCTGACACAAAATTTTCTGTGCCAGGTGTCTGCCTCAGGCAGAATTTTGTGGTGTTCTTTGGTTTGTTTGTGTTTTTTTTAATGTCAGCCAAAGCAGCTCAGCTATTCCTGAGAAGTTGGCTAGGGAAAACCGTGCAAAATAAACCTGGCAGTCTTTTTGAAGGGACCTAGTGTGTCCTTATCCTGGGGGAAAACACTTGACCTTTGACAAATGTTTGACTTTTCTTTTGGATATCATCTGCTTCAGTTGGTAGGTTCAGATGGAAAACCTGCCAGAACGTGGGTGAACAATGAATGTTTAAGAGATCACAGCTCACCCTGTGCTCACACAGACCTGTTGGAATATGATGTCCAATATGACCATCCACGCTCAATGCCTTCAGCTCCGATCCAAAACCACCCTGATGTGTGCTTGCCCGTGCCACCCCCTCCCCACCTGTGTCCTTATCCTGGGGGAAAACACTTGACCTTTGACAAATGTTTGACTTTTCTTTTGGATATCATCTGCTTCAGTTGGTAGGTTCAGATGGAAAACCTGCCAGAACGTGGGTGAACAATGAATGTTTAAGAGATCACAGCTCACCCTGTGCTCACACAGACCTGTTGGAATATGATGTCCAATATGACCATCCACGCTCAATGCCTTCAGCTCCGATCCAAAACCACCCTGATGTGTGCTTGCCCGTCCCCCCCCCCCCCCCCCCCCCCCAAACTAGCAGCTCCTTCCAGCCGCAGTCAGGAAACTGCAAACTTCTGGTAATAAGATAAAATGTGTGACACGTTTCAGCCATCTTTTCCCCTTGTGTTCAAGGTTCATCTTTATCTTGCTTATGCTAAAAACACTGAGCATCCCTTAACACCTGATTGTTTTTAATTCCTGAAATACGTTTGCAAAGGTCTATTGGGAAAAGCAGATGTAATCAGTAAATTTTAAGGCAAAAGGCAGGACCAAGCCTTTCCTCACTTTTCTGTCTTAATGGTTTTAGCAGCACGATACTTCCAAATGCATACTTACTGCACACGTTATGGAAAGAGGACATCTTCCTCCTTCTCTCAGTAGGCAGAAAATACCTGCCTTGGCTCATGTTCTCCAACATCTGTCTCGGATCTGGCAGTCCATGCACAGAGCCTGAGACTGCAGCAGTTGTCTTCCCTCATGCTGTGAAGCCACAATGCATCCTGATGCACCCCCCCAAATAGTATGGTTTTACTTGGTGGTGTCTGGAGGGGCTTTTCTGCTCCGTGCCTCTTCCACCTACCCAGAAGATGCAGATCAGTTCGTCAGAGTAATGCAGTAAATTGAAAATGTATCATAACTGAAGTGAAATCACACAATTATCATTTCTGGTACAGCATCAGTTTGAATATTGCTTCTTTTAGTGGTATTCATACCCTCCAAAATGAATACAAATATTTTTATTGTAAAGATTTCTGCCTTTTTTCTCTGGAGACCAGAGCAATTTCTAGGGAATTTGTAAGTACATTTCATCTTATTTTCTTAACTTGACACTTCTTAAAGAAAAAATTCCTAGTTTTTTTTCATTTTTGAGTATTTAACTTATATTGCTCATTAAATGCTACCCATTGAATGTCTCTATAATTCATAAAAACATACAGGATAGTGATAATTTTCTTAGGAAAGAGTTTTTTAATGTGCATAGTGTATACCTAGTCCTGTTGCTCTTTACAGTTTATAACTGGTGTGTTAAAGAATGTCAGTATAGACAAAAATTGGACTAAAAATTAGATTTGTTCAGCAAAAGTTTGATTGCTGTATCACAACCTTTTAATTATAGCATTCAGTTCAAAGATGTTTACATACCTTATTGAGCAAGCTGCATATTTTTCCAGCTAGGGTGTGTATACTGTAGTCATTACATTTTTGCATGCTTCACTGACTGAGCTGCATGGACTACTTTAACTATCACCAGGAATACTTGACTGAGTTCAGCTGCTTATTTGAGTGTTTCGGTTTGTGTACTTTATTACTTCAGTGGTGTATGTTGATAAAGTTCTCTTCTGTGCTGTTAAATTTTTGGTTCTGCCAATCTAACGATATACCATGCTGAGAGAACTGCATGCATTGCTAACTGCTTACTCCGTGGTGAACATGAGTAGTTGAAATGTTATAATCCGCAGTGTTTTGTTAAATGAGCTGCATATTTTTGTTTTTATATACGTTGCTTACCCAGTTGTGTACATTTGCCCAACTCATTATACAAAATAAGCTTGATTGGAATAAGAACATTCTCTACCAGCTGTCTGCTCTGAGTCAGTATGTAACAAAATTAGCAACTTTCTCTTTCCAACAGTGGCATGATTGCATCCAAAGTTTAAGGCAATTGGTTTGGAGATCTTGTTTGTTTCATTCACTCCATGCAAACATCAAGATTAACAAACCAATTTGTTGCAACTTAATTTGTTTTCACAAATACGAACAGAGTTAAGTAACAGAGGAAAAACTCAGCATTCTAATACAGGAAAATGCTTCCGTGTATAGTATGGAATATATAGAGACCTAAATATCATTATCTAGCTTAGAGGCATACATTGTAAACATGAGAAGATGGAAAATAACTAGAGACCTCCTGAGATGGATATTTCATCAGATAAGCAATATCCTAAATACTTAAAATTACACATATGACATTTTGTAAATTAAGAGTATGCTTTCATCAAGAGTTATAAAAATAAGCTCATCTCATGACCATTAGAAAATCTCAAAATGCTGCAATAGACAAAATACGTGAAAACTCATGTACAGGGATATGTAGTTTGCTCATTAACGTTGGTACAAAATTGAATTAACATCTTTAAGAAAGTGTTTTTCTCAACTTGCTAGTTTTTTAAGTCAGTTCCAGTAAAACCTACAGGTTATTCTTTGACTAATGCAGAGTTTGCATATGTAGCAGCTTGTGCTTCCATTTACAAAAACTTCAGCACTACCTCACCACAAAAAAACTTTCTTATTTTTTCTTGAGTACAGAGATACTTAATTAGGGCTATACAGTTTACCTGGGTTCCTACCTGCCCCACATATAAATGTAAATGTGCCTGGCTCCTGTTGTCAGTGTCCCACTGCTGATTGCTTTCACTTTAATGTTATAATTCACTGCTGTCTGAGCAGACTACCTGGAAGGGACAGATTTGTTTTTGCAAAAGTTTACATATGAAAGCTTAATTGATCTTATTGCTTTAGTCAAAACTATTTGATTTCAAACAGTGGCCATTTAATTCTCAGACTTCTCATGAACCATTATTTAAGAGCGTAAACATTACAATAGTTTGTTCTAAAAACAAATGTGTGAATACCTAGGGGCAAATATAATTTTTAGTCGTCTGTCTTCACCGATACCTGTGGAAAAGAAATTTAGAGAGAGATGTACAAATGAAATGTATTAATATATCCTGGAACATTATATCAAAATTAATTTAGTCTTTATATTTCAGTTTTTCTGTGTACATTAATGTTGGGTATCAAAAGACTACAAGAAACCAGGTATACTGGATTTAACATCTGAAAAGTAAATGTACTACATGAGATGAGCTAGATCCAACCTAGATTTTCTTAACAGAAACAGAATAAGTAATTTTGCATAAAATTGCTTACAGCAGACAGATGGTAAGGAAGAAAGTTTCATCTCTGTTTTCGCTTTTTTCCCCCAGTACGAATTTACTTTCAGTATCAGTCCATTACCTGTAAAGATCTAGATTTTGCTCTTCCTTTGAACTGTTAAATATCAACTACAGTTTTCCCAAAGTTATTAGTGTAAACTAAGGTCAGAACTGGACTCTTTTCTTCTCTATCATATTCAAACGAATGATGGCTATGGGCAATTTCTACTGTGTAGGTATCCTGTACAGTTTTTGCAGAGGAAAATTCTTCCTTTTGCCAAGGGAAGTGAAGAGAAATATTCCTTTCTTTGGGGAAAGAAAATCAGAAATCTTTATTTTTTTCCTGCTGCTGTGTGAGGCTTAAGCAGGTTGAAAGAAGCAACTAAGAAGCTTTAAGAGATGAAGCAGTTGGAAGGTTTTCATGAGGACTGCTACCCTGTCTCCCAGCTTTCCACCAACCTCTCTAACACTAACTGCAGCAAATTGGACTTGCTTTTCTGTTTTCAGATCTGAGTAACCTATTTCTTTGTATGGCTAGGATACCTACTGAAAAATCAGCATACTAAACTCAAAACATATATTCCATGTATATCACTGCAGCATAAAACAACATGGACTATTAAAATACTAGGAACAGGCAGGGTATCCATTATCTGAGACCTATGGAGAGTAACAATAATTCATAAGACACACATCTATTCCATATATTTTCTGTGTGTACTTCATGCAGCTGGTATATGCAATACACATATAAACTGTCATAATTTATACTTGACCTCTTTTCTTTGTTTGTGTTTTTTTTTTTCCCCAGAGAGTAATTTTCAATGTTGTCAACTTCAGTAAGACAAAAAGCCTGTATAGAGATGGGATGGCTCCAATGGTGAAATCCACAAGCAGACCAAAATGGTAAGTTATCCTTTCAAGGACTTGCTTAATGATGTAAAAGTGTTTTACTTGGCACTTTCTTGTAGTGAAGACCTTATGGCTCAGGTGCATCTTTTGGTAAGAGTAGGAGAGAACTTTGATGCAAAAGCAGTGTTGTGAGGACAGGTTCTCTTTGGAGCAGATGGACAGTATGAACTCTGGAGGCCCTTTCCAGCCTTGCTATGATGGTGTATTGTAGTGCCTTGTTTCAAATAGCGTGACTGAAGTGATGTCCATTCAAGCAAACTGAACAGTCAGGGCTTGGGCCAAATTATTTTTCAGTGACATCCTCACCATCCAACTGTTAGGACAGTCCCTGGCCCAGTTTTGGCTTGTGTCAGCTAGCAGTCTCCCAAACAAAGCCTGCAAGCAATATAGGAGATGGACTAGGCCTGGACTGGTTCCAAAAGGCTGTTTGGATTTCTTCTCCCTGTTTTGTGGAGGTCAGATTTTAGTGGAAGAACGTGAGATCTGCCATGTGAGTTGACCTCATGTGAATGAGTAGTCTCTGGTCTGTTTTATCTAAGACGCAAGGCCAAACCACCTTGTTGTAAGCTCCACAATATATACAACACAGAAAGGTATGCCCATATGAAACACATGAATACCCATATAGATGGTACCTTTTCTCAAAGCAAATGTAATGAAATGTCTACTGTAAACAATAATATGTAAATCCAATGAGTCCTAATGCATGCAAGTCTCCCAAGAATCACGTGATTTGCCTTTAGCTAGGAGACTTGTTTGAATATGGATAGTGAGGTTAGGTGTGTACAGTAATGTATTCTTCTAAGCCTTTACAGCTGCTTCTTTTTATTGGTTAATTAATAATACATTTGATCAATCTGCACATTATCTGAGCCTTATAAATATATCTTTCTTAAATATTTCAACTGTCACACAATTTCCACCTGCAAGATGTTAACTTTTGGTGGTCATAAGATCATTGCTATTATATGGCTTCCTCTTCATATGACCAACGGAATGGCTATTTGGTTTTTTATCTAGATGGTAAGGTCATATGGACAGAAGAGCTGTCTCACAATACAGTTAGTGGATGGAGTCAATTCCAGCTCAATAGGAGCATGTAATAACATTGAAAATTAATTAAAAAAATCCATTGTGTTTAGTGTTTTTGTAGCAAAAGTCATGTTAATTGTGTTTACCGTTTAACTGCAGAAAAATCTTTTGGGGCATTTCAGGGCCACATTTATCAAGCATGCTTTAATCATTTTTCAAAACCTTTTCCTTCTCTCACTGGGGTCTGGTATTTGCAGCTAAGTATATTGTGTGTTAAGTTTATCTATAAATCAGATATTGCTTTCATACAAATTTTATGCCTTTGGTTTCAAATTAAACTGTAAATCTTACAAAACAATGCAAAATAGGCTTTTTCTAGAACATATAGGCTCCTTCACTATTTTTAAAACAGATTTCTCTCCCATTTCCCCAGAGATCTATTTATTTTTGTGTTTTATATTTTTAGGGGATGTATTTGCTCCCATGAAAGTGAGGAATGAATAACATTGCCTGGAGCCAGGCACAGTGTAGGCAGCAGGTGCTGAGCAGCTTCCTTGTACAGGGCTACTACCATACTTCAATCCTGTTTCAGAAATTCTAGCTGTAATTTTTTTCTTTAAAAAGATCATTATTCTATTAAGGTATTTTTATTTTTTTCTAATAGCCTGTGTATGAAAACATCTTGCTGTACTTTGAAGGTGCACATTAATTGATACTGTTATCAGGGACCTTAGTGATATTGGGGTCTACTCAGTATAATTTTCTGTCTTGATGTTAATAGGAGTTATGCATGTGTTTTCCCACTTGGAAAACACATACATTATTTTTGGATATATGCTTTCTATTAGAGCTGTCTTCCATTTGGATTATGCCTTTTACAATTACCTCTGTATCTGTTTCCATGGCATTCTAGTGAAACCTGTAAACAAAATTTTCTCTTTCTCTGTTTGCTGAAATAGGATTTACTAGTACTTGTACTTGCTAATGCAGCATACAGGTAGTTGTGGTCCTTGAACATGAACAGGGCAATATCCAGCTGCATCCATTTGATCCTGTTTGGTGCTTTGTATAGATTAGTCTAGTAAACAATACCAAATCATTCAATGCTGCAAAAGTGCTGAGGTTTACACGAGGGTACTCAGGATTCAGAATTCTGGAAGGAGACTATTGGAACTCTCCACCTTATGTGAAGATTTAAGTCAGCATAGCAGGTTAGTGGCTATAATGTAATTAAATTAGAAAATGATATATTAATTACAAAAAGTTGAAGAAACACAAAAGATTTTAAAATCAAGTTAAAAGGAAGAAGATTACCATAAACCAAGGTCTGCAAATATTCTGTAGCAGATCTCAGTCCTTCACCTCCAAACTCTTCTGTACTAAATATTTGAGGAACTCATCATTTTTGTGCGTGCCTGCCTTTGCCACACTGTGCCTGTGCCTTCAATATGTCATCCATTCTGAAATTCTCCCAACTTCCTCTGGCCACGCTGATGGAAGCAATGCTGTGTCACACATAACTATTCCACTCCCTTTTCTATACAAGGGATGTATAGAACTCTATCAGGTTTGAGATTTAGGGTGATAAAGTGTCTCTTTTCCTTTTTGCATTTGAGAGATGCAAGTACATTACTCCTCTTAATAACAGATATTCAAGCCTGAGTTATGCCCTTTTGATTTAAATGAGAAAGTTCCCACTGTATTCAGGGTAGAATCTGACCATATTGCTCGCAAAATCCTGCATATCAAAAGTAGATTGGCCTCCAGAGACTGTGAATTTTAATGTTTGTTTTGAATGTGGTTATGCGAACATGGCTCCGAGCTTTGCAACATTTTTAGTTTGATTCTTGGCTCTGGAACAAATCACTGCCAAGTGCTCTTGAAGTAGAGAGTATATCAAACACAGATCAACGTTTTTGACCTGTATTCTCTTGCCCTGTGGGGTAAGATCTTTAAATGCAGTCAGCATCAAGGTTCAGGTCAGTGTTACTGATGTAAATGGAGTATATCACTGTCATCAAAGCACTCTATGTGGACACAGATGTTCTGGTGTTGACATATTCTTCTCTTTTGAAGTAAGGCCAAACATTTCCAGTAATGAGCTACTTTAAAAGAGGAAGCAGTATGCTGAAGGATAAGGAAAAAACAGATTTCATGCTAAAGAAAAAGATTATTTTTTAAAAAGAAAAAAACTGGAAAAATAAATTCTGATTAAAATGATATCTATTTTCCCCATACATGGTAACGGATTTACTGAATATTCTTTCCCAGAGGGATAGAGCAAAATAAAGAAGAACTAAGTAGGTTAAGTTCTGAATCCCTCTACCCATTTTTTCTGCATTTTTTGTGGACGTGCTATGTTGACACTAAATAGTATGGGGTTGTGTCAGTTGCATCAGTCAAATTTCACTGCAATGAATCACAGCTCATAGGTAGAAAGACAGCATTGTGTCACACCATGTTACATCAGTTGCGCTTCATAGCAAACTGGACAAGATGAAACTGAAGATTTTATTTCAAGCCAGTGGAATGTGCTGCATCTGATCACTTAGCATTTCTGCTTAAAATTAGCTGTTTCTTCAGAAGTATTACACCAAGATTTTAAAGAATTGGTGTTTTTTCTCAATAATGACTACTACAAATATAAAAACCTCAATTACTATAATAGAGACCTGTTCTGTTTTGACTGCGTCTTCTTTCTTTGTCTCATTTGTGGAGGTGAAGAATTTGAGGGGAGATGGTTTTGCAGAAATTAAATTTTTGCTGTGCTGATGCAGTTTCTACTGTAATCTTCTTTTTCTTTGCTGCTTCACTTAAGTGCAACCTAATTTTGTTGCAGTTTCTTAATCATGATTTCACATTAAAAGCTCTGTCCTTGGAAGCTATTCATAAATCCTTCCATGTGGGCATAGCAGTGGAAGACCATTTAAGTACATATACCGTACTATTACATTGATTGCATGAAGTTTTACAAGTTTCTCAAAGTGAAATAGAAGAGTGAGTTGTTCAAGAGGCAGCAGATTTTCCAAATGATGAAGTGAGCAAATATTCCCTTTGGGCAGAGAACCGCTATAACTCTTGATTATTCAGTGTGAGCATTGCCTCATTGGGGACATTAGTTTTTCAAATTGTGCTAATCTTTTAAAAGTAACAACTGGCCACTCATCACCTTAGGTATTTCAGCAAGATCATGTGCAAAACTCTAATTAGTATTTATAGAACAGCAACTCCTCCCAGTAGAATAGTAGCGGTAGCTGGCAAATATCTGGTTGACACCTGTTAAGACTTCAGACATCCATTGTATTTTATTCTGCATTTCAAATGAGCAGAGAGCAGTAGGTGAAGTCCCCATAATTAAGGGATAAAGGATAATAAATAACATAGTTCTTGAGTGGATGAACACAAGGTTAAAGGCTGTTCTGCAGTTGTGATGCCATATTTCAGGAATTGTTTGTTTGTAAGTAATAATGTTAGCTAAAATATTATGCAGCCTTCAGCATATGAGAGAGGATTTATGTCTAGATTTACATGTGTTTTGTTTATAATGTCAGATTTCAAACTGCTTCTTGGCAAAGCAGCTACTTTCTTCCCTGTCTTTTATCTCACTCAGCATTGATGCCTTTTAACTGGATAGCTGCCTTCCCCAGCAAGCACTCCACTACCTCTGTTGCTATAACATCTACTGTTAAATACTCACAACACATTGCTTCTGAAGCGTTTTTCTTTTCCAGTAAACCTGGGAGTACAGAAAAACTTCTAGGTAATTAATTCAAATTTGAATCTATATGTATCTTGGTAAATATTGTCATGATGAGGAATTTTGGTAGACATCAAGATAAGCAATGCAAGTTTTATGAACAATACTCCCATATGTTCCATTCATCAGAAGGGGACAAAACTGAGAAAATCTGAATTTTGAGTAGCTAAAATGTGTTGATTCTTGCCAAGTTTCTTTAACATTT